TTTTTTCTGTTTTGTGCATTTTGAGGTATTTGTTGTGAGCAGCTGTGTCCAGTTTTATCCAGGAAACGTATTGAATTATAAAATAAAACTCGAAATAAGAGTTTAAAAAATAATCGACTTTCTAAATAAAATCTATTTAAAATCTATTTAAAAAACTTGATACTGCCTGATTTTTGTAGTCATTTTATATATATATATATATATATATATATATATATATATATATATATATTTATTTTTTTTTTTAATATAAATTATTTAATGTCAACATTAAATACACCATAAATGCATCCTTATAATAATAATAGTTAAAGTCTGCAATGCAAATCACTGACGACAGGGAGCAGCATTATCCGTTTCAACGCACAGCTCTGCCGTAAACTATTTAGAAGAAGAAGAAGAAGAAGAAGAAAGAGGAGGACAGAAGAGTTTAACTTTACTTTTTTTTCTACAACTCTGATCTCGATACTGTTTGGGGATTTATTTCGTGTCACGGCGATAAAGTCCGTCTTGATTATACTACACGGTGTTCGGTTATCTGACAACACGTAAAGACATCGCTGTGAGGTCGGTAAGTAAACGTTTAAAAGTTCGTAAATGGCTATTTAACGGTTATTCAACGGCTCGGTGTAGCTGGGGACATTAACGTCACGCGCTCCATTGAAAAAGTCTGTCTATTTAATGTGACGAAGAAGAAGTAGCGGTAGCAAGAGAGTGACGCAAAAAGTGAATAAATACTATATTTTGTATTTTTCTTTTGTAGACGAATTAACCGAAGACTATACTTGTGTTTCATGTACGTCACTAAAGTAGCGATAGAGTTGTACAATGTGTGGGCTTTTACCAACGAAGAAGAAAACGTTAAAACGGGTAGTTTCTGAAGAGAGTTCAGTTTATAAAGTTTTAGCCTAGCTAACCTAAGCTTGTTGTTGACTAGTGTTAGTTAAACCAAAGACATTTTAGCTCCAGTTAGCTCTCACCTGTGTTATTTATTTGAGCTGGTGATGGTGTTCACTTTATTAAGAAGTGGTTAAAGGTTATTTCTGCTTCTCATTTAGTTTTCAAGTATAGTTTATTGTTTGTTGAACTAAAGTTAACAGCTTACTCAGCTAAGTTAGCTTAGTTATGAGCTAACTAAGCTAAGTTGACTACTAAGCTATGTTAAACTATAATTAACAGCCAAGTTAGTTTAGTTAACAGCTTATTCAGCTAAGTTAGATGTTAATTTGCAGAGTAAAAGCAAGTTCACCTCTTAAATTCTTAAGTTAGTGCTAACCTAGCCATGACGAGTCTCTTTCACTGGATACTTTGACGAGACGTTAGTTTAGAGTTCAACACAAAACAAATAGTTGAAGTTAAACCCCCCCCCCGATGCTAATTTGCTAGCACTGCTACACCTCAGATTATAAAGCCATGTAAACTTTTACTACGCTGTCACACTCATCAGTACTCTGTTAAACGGAGCTAGCTGCACTTTAAAGGGTATCACTACCAAACAAAATCTGTAAGAGGTTTGATATCGGCTCGTCTATTCCAGATAAGTGAGCTACCTGCTGTTGCAGATGTCATATATTTACTTTTTACTCGTTGATATTTGCCCCTCTTTCTCTCTCTGACCCTCTGGTTTCCTGCCGAGTCACATTCCATTTAATTGGAAGAGGAACTGAGGACAAGATAACAGTGTGATGGGTGGCTTCCTCTCTGTGTTGTGATACATGCTTCACCAGTCTTTATCAACATTAACATTCCTGTTTTTTAGCTCCAGTTTAATGCTTTTGTGTTGTGGTTTTTTTGCCAGGAATGATCTGGAGCAGTGAGAGGTTGTGGCGGCCTCATCAGTAGCTGTCACCACGGCGGGGGACCTTCGGACCTCCGTCTGCAGGGTGGTCATCTACCTCCAGAGGGAAATGTCCGGGGACAGCTGCCTGCCTCAGCGTCACACCCACTCTGCCTCCTCGTCCTCCGCCTGTCCCAAGACCAAGACCTGCAGTTACCGCGGAGCGGTGGGCCTGGGCAACAAGTATGTCCGCGTCAACGTTGGCGGGAGCCTGTTCTACGCCACGCTGCAGGTGCTGACCAGGCAGAACTCAATGCTGAAAGCCATGTTCAGTGGACAGAAGGAAGTGTTCACCGATAAAGACGGTAAGTCAGCTCTGAACCAGGCTCGGGACGATAAGAAAATATAATGTCACGGTTATCTTGGCCAATATAATCGCTATTTACTATATAATCTATAAAAAAAGATGGCGTCAGTCCATTCTTTGTTATGTATTGACTGTATTTTTTAAAATAAGGCTCTTATTTTTAACGTTCTCTACCAAAATAGTGAACTAAGAAGCTTTTTTAAGTCTCTTGTGACGTTATTTATGATTCAGGTTGGATCCTGATCGACCGCAGCGGGAAACACTTCGGCAGCGTCCTGTGCTTCCTACGTGACGGCACGGTCGCCTTGCCCAAAGGTCGTCAGGCCGTCCAGGAGGTGTTCGCTGAGGCGAAGTATTACGACGTCCAGGGTCTGATGGAGCTTTGTCAAAACACCCTGCAGGTCAGTCACACCCACGCTGACTCATGTTTGAAATGCTGAGAAAAGAGGATGTCGTATGAAACCTCTGGCCGGTCTGTATCAGCAGAGGAGTGACGTAGAGACGCCTTATACGTCTCTGGTAGACCTGTCAATGGAAATGTCATTTCACCAACTGTGTCACATCGGCGAGGTTCTCCAATGAAGGCTGTGGCTATCTGTAGCATCCGTACTGCTAATTCCTTACGTTTCTACAAACCATCATTGTTTGTTAATTTCTATCTCGTAAAGCACTTGCTAAACTTGGTTTTTCAAAGTGCAATATAAGTAAAGTTTATTTGTATTGTTATGAGTATCAAAGACACTATAACTTCCCATGACAGCTCTGACTCCGTGTCTCCTGCTGTGTGATTGACAGGACAATAAAGAGCTGCCCATGTGTGTCATACCTGTGGTCACCTCCAGGAAGGAAGAGGAGAAGCTCATCCAGTCCTCCACGAAGGTAGACACAGACGCTCATTATATCATGAAGCTTCTTCACACCCAGAAAAAGGAAATCCCTCTTGTGATTGGTCTTTTCATGTCATTTGTTATTAATAATTATGAAGATATAATGATGCATTTTGCAGCTATTTAACGATAAATACAGCATGTTCTTATTTTTACATGTGAAGACACTGAACTATTCATGTAAATATTTATCTTTGAAGCAATAAAATCCAGATATGTAATGGTTTGTTCCCTCTGTCAGCCTGTGGTGAAGCTGGTGTACAACAGAAGCAACAACAAGTACTCCTACACCAGGTACGAGCATCGATACCACCATCATTGATTCATTCAGAGTGAAGTCTAACGAGCCACAGGACACAGACAGAAAGTTAAAATGACTTCTTCTTCTCCTCTTCGTCTCGACAGCAACTCGGACGACAACCTGCTGAAGAACATCGAGCTGTTCGACCGGCTGTCTCTGAGCTTCAACGGCCGCGTCCTCTTCATCAAGGACGTGATCGGAGACGAGATCTGCTGCTGGTCCTTTTACGGTCAGGGACGCAAGCTGGCCGAGGTCTGCTGCACCTCCATCGTCTACGCCACGGAGAAGAAGCAGACCAAGGTGAGGACGAGGCGGTGTTTAAACCAACAGGAGGAGAGCTATTAACGTTAGCAGCACCGCTAACGGCTAACCAACGGGAGGAGAGCTAGTAACGTTAGCAGCACTGCTAACGGCTAACCAACAGGAGGAGAGCTAGTAACGTTAGCAGCACTGCTAACGGCTAACCAACAGGAGGAGAACTAGTAACGTTAGCAGCACTGCTAACGGCTAACCAACGGAAGGTCACTTCAGTTACATTATGATGCCTTCAGGCTCTGCTGAGTGAACATGAGTACTGGCTGAAGGTACATTATAACGTTATCATGATGTGTTCACATGTAAAATGTAGTTTCTGGTCAAAACGTCAATCCACAATGGAATGAGTGACGTCACGATGACTATGTCCATTTCTTCCATACAGTCTATGTCTGTACAACAGACACCACAATCGGATTTCACTACATAAAGTCCTCTTCTCTAATCTACCACATGCATATTTGTGATCTTCTCTTCCCGCCTCAGGTGGAGTTCCCTGAAGCTCGTATCTACGAGGAGACCCTGAACACGCTGCTGTACGAGACGATGCCGCCGCCCGACACCGTGCTGCTGGAGGCGACTCGTCGCAGCTTCACCTCCTGTGGCTCCCACAGCGAGGAGGAGGAGGGGGGGGCAGGGACCGGGGGGGCGGAGCTCCGAGAGCGAGTCCGCCGGATCCACGTGAAGAGGTACAGCACGTACGACGACCGGCAGCTCGGACACTGAGACTGTAAAAACATCCAAAAACCAGCGGACAGATTTGTGATGACGAACATTCAACGTTTTCTGTCTTTGGATCGTTTCTTCTTCTCTGTCTGAAGTCCAAACTGTGGCCTTGCTGTACTTTACTCTGGATAGTTGTGGTGTCGTCCGCTCTGTCCGTCATAATTTATGAATCATCATCAGAGCAACAAGAGAGCTGTTGTTGTTTATTAAATGTAGATTATTAGTGGAGGAAGAATCACTGATATGCAGTATTTCTTAGAAGAAATACTGTTCAGATCATAGCACTTACACTCTGAATCAGCAGCAGAGCATGTTTCATATTTATAGATCGTATTGTTTCATAAACACATCGAACAACAGGCCTGTTGTTAACCAAAGAGGAACCAGAACTAGTGTGACGCTAACATGTTTTAATGCAGTTTACCATTATGCCTTTTTTCCAGCTGTGAAGATAAAAGTTCTTGTTATTAAACTACTTTTTTTGTCTTTATGTTTTTAGTACGTATAGTCAGACGGAAACTTCTAGTTCATAAGAGTGAAGTCAGTTAAACCTGCATTCTCTCTAATGTCCACCAGGGGGCGACTCCTCTGGTTGTATAGAAGTCTATGAGAAAATGACTCTACTTCTCTTGATTTATTACCTCTGTAAACATGAGTTTATGGTCTCAATCTCTAGTTTCAAGTCTTC